CCGCGGCGCAACCCAACCCCCCCTCCTTTAGCCCCGCCTCCTTTTCCCCCATCCCGCCTCCTCATTGGTTCGACCCACCCCGAAACCCTTTCCCATTGGTCGGCGCCTCATGTTCGGTTGCGCCCAACCCCGGAAGCGCCGCCCCCTCCTCCCCGCCTGAGAGGAAAAAAGAGGGGGCTTTAAAGATTAGGGGTGGCCGCGGAGGTGCCTGAGCGCAACGAGCAGGCGGTGAACGGGGCAGCCCGCCCGCCATTTTGTCTCTCTGAGGGGAGGGAAAGGGAAAGGAGGGGTCCTTAACCCTCAGGCCGCCATGATGGCGGCGGCAAAACCGCGCCGAGCCGCGAAAATTGTTAAAAAAAAGCCTTTAAAACCTTAAAAAAAACAGCCGAACGGCCCCGAAATGGCGCCGTTTCGCCCCAAAATACCCCGCTGCGGAAAAAAAACCCAAAAAAACCTGCTGAATAAAGGCTACAGACACGCCGTGAAAAACCCCGCGGGAAATAGCGCCCAAACGCGCCGTAAAATGAGCGGTTTTGTGGTGTTTTGTTTTAAAAAAATATGGCGCCGTTTCGCCCCAAAATACCCCGCTGCGGAAAAAAAACCCAAAAAAACCTGCTGAATAAAGGCTACAGACACGCCGTGAAAAACCCCGCGGGAAATAGCGCCCAAACGCGCCGTAAAATGAGCGGTTTTGTGGTGTTTTTTTTTTTAAAAAAAATAAAAATAAAAGGATGGGATATAGAGGATTCGCCCGCTCGTATAAATTTTGAAAAAGAAATTATAAAAAAAACTTGATTTTTTGTGTTTTTCAAAGAAAAAAAAGAGCCCGTTTCTCGGAGGTAATTTGGGGTGGGATTTATTCAGCGCCTTAAAAAAGTTCTTTTTTTAAGCAGGAATAGCCCCGAAATGCAGCCAAGTTTATATTTTTTTTATTAATAAATGGCTTCAAAGTTTGTGATTGAGTGCTTTTATGAGGGAATCCGGGTCCAGATTGTGGCCGAAGCCTCCAAAAAATCAGGTTTAACCCTCAAAAATGGGGTTAACCCCCGAAAATCAGGTTTAACCCCCCCAAAATCAGTGAGAAACGCCCCAAAACACCCCCAAAATCCGCTATTTTCTTCATGAAAAATAGTAAATAAACAAAATTAACTGTTTCTGAGGAAATTTGGGTCAAAACTGTGACCCAATCCTCCCAAAAAAACCCAGTTTAAAGCCCAAAATGGCACAAAATTAAACCCAAATGCCCCAAAATGGGCTCTTTTGTCCACGAAAAAATGTAATTAACCATTTCTGAGGAATCTGGGATCAAAATTGTGACCAAATCCTCTCAAAACCACCCATTTTTAAGCCCCAAACGATGCAAAATCAAACCCAAATGCCCCAAAATCGACTCTTTTCTCCATGAAAAAGCGTAATTAACCATTTCTGAGGAATCTGGGATCAAAATTGTGACCAAATCCTCTCAAAACCACCCATTTTTAAGCCCCAAACAGCGCAAAATTAAACCCAAATGCCCCCAAATTGACTTTTTTGTCAATGAAAAAACGTAATTAACCATTTCTGAGGAATTTGGGGTCAAAATTGTGACCAAATCCTCTCAAAACCACCCATTTTTAAGCCCCAAACGGCGCAAAATTAAACCCAATTGCCCCAAAATTGACTCTTTTCTCCATGAAAAATCATAATTAACCATTTCTGAGGAATTTGGGGTCAAAATTGTGACCAAATCCTCTCAAAAACACCCGTTTTTAAGCCCCAAACGGCGCAAAATTAAACCCAAATGCCCCCAAATTGACTTTTTTGTCAATGAAAAAACGTAATTAACCATTTCTGAGGAAATTGGGTCAAAATCGTGGCCAAATCCTCTCAAAATCCCAGAATTAAACCCCAAAATTCCTACCAAAAAAATCATGATTCCCCCCACAAAGAGGAATTTTGGGTCAAAATCGGCCAAATCCCCTCAATAATCAGCTTTAAACCCCAAAATAGCTCAGAATTCCTCTCAAAGTGCCCAAAATTATCTTTTTTTTTGTTAATTAAATTTAAAAAATAATATTTAACCATTTTTGAGGAAACTGAGATGAAAATTATGGCCAAAACCCCCCAAAATCCAATTTTAACCCCCAAAATGACTCAAAATTGGTCCAAATCTCCCCAAAACTGACATTTTGATCAACAAAAAAGTGGGGGAAAAAATCATCATTTACTCCTTTCTCCAAATTAACCTTTTCCCCGCAAATTTCACCCCAGATCCAACCGAGAGCAAAACCGCTCCTTGAGGGGAGAAACGAAACTCCCCAAATACCCTCAAATCACCCCAAAATGAATTATAATTCATTACAAACCCCCAAAAGCCTTTTTTTGGAGGGTAAAATTATAAATTTTGAAAAAGAAATTATAAAAAAAACTTGATTTTTTGTGTTTTTCAAAGAAAAAAAAGAGCCCGTTTCCACCTTCTTCTTCCAAAAAACTCAACAAAAAACGGGGTGAAAAATGCTTTTTTGAGCATTTTTCACTCCCAAAATGTACATTTTTAATAATTAAGCTCTTGGCTGCCATCTTGGCCACCAGGTTGACCATCGTCTTGGCCACCATTCGTAATTAACCATTTCTGAGGAATTTGGGGTCAAAATTGTGACCAAATCCTCTCAAAACCACCCATTTTTAAGCCCCAAACGGCGCAAAATTAAACCCAATTGCCCCAAAATTGACTCTTTTCTCCATGAAAAATCATAATTAACCATTTTCACCTTGGCCCCCTCTTGGCCACCAGGTTGGCCATGGGTCAAAATTGTGACCAAATCCTCTCAAAAACACCCGTTTTTAAGCCCCAAACGGCGCAAAATTAAACCCAAATGCCCCCAAATTGACTTTTTTGTCAATGAAAAAACGTAATTAACCATTTCTGAGGAAATTGGGTCAAAATCGTGGCCAAATCCTCTCAAAATCCCAGAATTAAACCCCAAAATTCCTACCAAAAAAATCATGATTCCCCCCACAAAGAGGAATTTTGGGTCAAAATCGGCCAAATCCCCTCAATAATCAGCTTTAAACCCCAAAATAGCTCAGAATTCCTCTCAAAGTGCCCAAAATTATCTTTTTTTTTGTTAATTAAATTTAAAAAATAATATTTAACCATTTTTGAGGAAACTGAGATGAAAATTATGGCCAAAACCCCCCAAAATCCGATTTTAACCCCCAAAATGACTCAAAATTGGCCCAAATCTCCCCAAAACTGACATTTTGATCAACAAAAAAGTGGGGGAAAAAATCATCATTTACTCCTTTCTCCAAATTAACCTTTTCCCCGCAAATTTCACCCCAGATCCAACCGAGAGCAAAACCGCTCCTTGAGGGGAGAAACGAAACTCCCCAAATACCCTCAAATCACCCCAAAATGAATTATAATTCATTACAAACCCCCAAAAGCCTTTTTTTGGGGGGTAAAATTAAAATTATAAAAAAAACTTGATTTTTTGTGTTTTTCAAAGAAAAAAAAGAGCCCGTTTCCACCTTCTTCTTCCAAAAAACTCAACAAAAAACGGGGTGAAAAATGCTTTTTTGAGCATTTTTCACTCCCAAAATGTACATTTTTAATAATTAAGCTCTTGGCTGCCATCTTGGCCACCAGGTTGACCATCGTCTTGGCCACCATCTTGGCCACCAGGTTGACCATCATCTTGGCCACCACCTTGGCCACCATCTTGGCCACCAGGTTGACCATCGTCTTGGCCACCATCTTGGCTATTGGGTTGGCCATCATCTTGGCCACCATCTTGGACCATCACTTGGCCACCACCTTGGCCCCCTCTTGGCCACCAGGTTGGCCATTGTCTTGGCCACCATCTTGGACCATCACTTGGCCACCACCTTGGCCACCTCTTGGCCACCAGGTTGACCAATGTCTTGGCCACCATCTTGGACCATCACTTGACCACCATCTTGGCCACCAGGTTGACTGACTCCTTGGCCACCATCTTGGCTACTGGGTTGGCTGCCATCTTGGCCACCATCTTGGACCACCATCTTGGCCACCAAGTTGGCCGAAGTCTTGGCCACCACCTTGGCCACCAGGTTGGTTGAACTCTTGGCCGCCATCTTGGCCACCATCTTGGCCAAGGTTTTGCTACCATCTTGTTCACCATCTTGGCCACCATCTTGGCCACCACATTGGCCGCCATCTTGGCCAACCTCTTGTCACCATCTTGACCACCATCTTGGCCAAGGTCTTGGCCAAGCTCTTGCTACCACCTTGGCCACCATCTTGGCTACCACATTGCCCGCCATCTTGGCCACCAAGTTGGCCGAACTCTTGGCCGCCATCTTGGCCACCAGGTTGGTTGAACTCTTGGCCGCCATCTTGGCCAAGCTCTTGGCCAAGCTCTTGCCACCATCTTGGCTGCCATCTTGACCACCAAGTTGGCCAAAGTCTTGGCCGCCATCTTGGCCACCAGGGTGGTTGAACTCTTGGCCACCATCTTGACCACCATCTTGGCCAAGCTCTTGGCCAAAGTCTTGCTACCATCATCATCTTGGCCACCATCTTGGACCATCACTTGGCCACCATCTTAGCCACCAGGTTGACCATCGTCTTGGCCACCACGTTGGCCACCATCTTGGACCATCACTTGGCCACCTCTTGGCCACCAGGTTGACCATTGTCTTGGCCACCATCTTGGCTATTGGGTTGGCCATTGTCTTGGTCACCATCTTGGCTATTGGGTTGGCCATCGTCTTGGCCACCAGGTTGACTATCATCTTGGCCCCCTCTTGGCCACCAGGTTGACCAATGTCTTGGCCACCATCTTGGTCACCAAGTTGCCCAAAGTCTTGACCACCATCTTGACCACCATGTTGGCCAAGGTCTTGCCACCATCTTGGCCACCTCTTGGCCACCATCTTGGACCATCACTTGACCACCATCTTGGCCACCAGGTTGACTGACTCCTTGGCCACCATCTTGGACCACCTCTTGGCCAAGCTCTTGCCACCATCTTGGCCACCAGGTTGACCCAAGTCTTGGCCGCCATCTTGGCTACCAGGTTGGCCACCATCTTGGCCAAGCTCTTGGCCAAGCTCTTGCCGCCATCTTGGCCGCCATCTTGACCCAAGTCTTGGCCACCATCTTGGCCACCAGGTTGGTTGAACTCTTGGCTGCCATCTTGGCCACCATCTTGGCTACCACGTTGGCCACCATCTTGGCCACCAGGTTGACTGAC